GTTCCTGTGTAGTTGTGTTCCTGTGCCTTTCAGGCAACACAAACTTAGTTGTTCCAGACTCCAGTGCCTTTCTGGCAACACAAACATAGTTGTTCCTGTGTAGTTGTGTTCCTGTGCCTTTCAGGCAACACAAACTTAGTTGTTCCAGACTCCAGTGCCTTTCAGGCAACACAAACTTAGTTGTTCCAGACTCCAGTGCCTTTCAGGCAACACAAACTTAGTTGTTCCTGTGTAGTTGTGTTCCTGTGCCTTTCAGGCAACACAAACTTAGTTGTTCCAGACTCCAGTGCCTTTCAGGCAACACAAACTTAGTTGTTCCTGTGTAGTTGTGTTCCTGTGCCCTTCAGGCAACACAAACTTAGTTGTTCCTGTGCCCTTCAGGCAACGCAAACTGTAGTGCTCCTCCTCATTTGTGTAGTTCCAACCAGTGCGCCCCTTTGCCCACCACAAAGGGCTTAAATACAGTCCTCATAACTTGTGCAGTTCCAACCAGTGTGATGAAACGTTTCCTTCCCGGCTTTTTGAGTCGCAAGGGCAAAATGCAATCGCGAATATCTAAGAAAGACAGGGGACTTAAGATGAGCACATTGACAAGAAGGGAACCTCCAACCAACGAGATGGTTATTGAAACACCCACAGATGCTTCAACCAGCTGTGAGATGGCACAACCTTCTTCATCATTTCAAAAGACTCAACGTTCAGCTCCTGATGTCCTTCCAAGTACCTCTGATACTACTTGTTGTGAAGAGGAGGGTGAGGAGGCGGACGTGTCAGAGGAATGGGATTAAGACAATATGGAATCAGCTTCCACCGCAGGAATGAGTGATCAAGAGGACTGCATGCTGCTGGAGGGTGAGCAACAGAAACGACAAACAACTACACTCCCTTCCACAAACACCGACAGTCCAAACACGAGCATGAGTAATCCTGAAGTGCGTAGCAGGGGTAGGCCGAGATCGCTCCTATGGGATCATTATGACGTCCATAATCAGAGGGCCACTTTGGCAGTTTGCAGGCATTGCGGTGTGAGCGTCAGCAGAGGAAAAGATATGAGGCATCTTGCCACAACAGGGCTAAGGATGCACATGAAGAGACACCACCCAAATGTCAAGTTGGACGCAGTTGAAGTCGCCAGCACATGCAGCAGTACACTGAGCACTCCAACCACACCAACAGGCCCCATGCAGAAAACCATCGATGCTTGGGGCGTGCAAGTTACAAGGGTGAGATCTGGATTTAAGCCGCCATCAGTGAAGGAAATAACATGTTGCCTGGGGGAGATGATGGCTCTGGACCACCAGCCCTTCCGTATGGTGGAACGGGAAGGTTTCCGCCGATTTGTTCAACTCCTTGCACCATGGTACAATATCCCAAGTCGCAAAACTTTCTCACGAACAGTCATTCCCGCTTTGTTTGAGGGATGCAAGCAACATCTCAGAACCATGTTGACCAAATCACGACCCATACATGTACATTTCACATCTGACATTTGGACGAGCATGGGAGGAGGGCATTCCTATTTGTCCCTGACCGCTCACTGGTGGGAGGCGGAGGGTTGCCTAGACACGGGTCATCGTTGGGCACTCCTGTCCCTTGAGGTGATCGATACGGATCACAGGGCCAACACCATTTCTGAGTACTTGCGAGAGATGATGAGAGAGTGGATGCGGCATACTCATCCCGGTGAAACTAACTCGGGATTCATGGTCACAGACGCAGGAAGGAACATGATCCGTGCGGTTGAAAATGCCGGATTCACAAACGTAACATGCATGGCGCACTTGCTGCATAATTGCGTCAAAGATGGCTTCAAGGGGCCAGATGAGAACAGCGCCACCTCTGTCTCTCAACTCATTGAGCGCTGCCGCAAAATCGCGGGCTTCTTCCACCATAGCTCTAAGTCCGCGAAACTGCTGCGTGACAGGCAGATGCTAGAGGGCCTCCCACAACACCGGTTACTGCAGGATGTCCCCATCCGCTGGAACTCCACCTACATCATGTTGGAGCGCATGGTGGAGCAACAGAGGGCAGTCCATGCTGTCTCACTATCAATTGAGGCTCCGATAAACAAGCTGGTCCCCAACAACCAGGAGTGGAAGACCATCACTCAGCTGGTTGAGATCCTTGAACCATTCAAACTGGCCACCGAAAAACTTTCATCACAGAAAGCACTACTCAGCCATGTGGTCCCAGTCATCTTGCGTTTGAAGAGCGATTTGGAGTCGCTGGGTGGACACAGTACATTGCAGTCTATGGCTGGGCCCCTGACTCCAC